ATCTTATATTTTTCCTTTTCAGTTGAGAACAGATGTTACCCCCAAGACTTGTGAAAATTTCCGTGCCCTCTGTACTGGTGAAAAAGGTTTTGGATACAAAGGCTCCACTTTCCACCGTGTTATCCCCAACTTCATGTTGCAAGGAGGTGACTTTACAAACCATAATGGCACTGGTGGCAAGTCTATCTTTGGTGAGAAGTTTGCTGATGAGAACTTTGTTTTGAAGCACACTGGCCCAGGTGTGCTCTCTATGGCTAATGCTGGCCCTAACACTAATGGCTCTCAGTTCTTTATTACTACTGTGAAGACATCGTGGCTGGATGGAAGACATGTGGTCTTTGGAAATGTAGTGGAGGGCATGGATGTTGTGAAACAAGTTGAAGCCCTGGGTTCCCAATCTGGCAAACCCTCCAAGAAAGTTGTAATTGCTGATTGTGGTCAGCTTTCCTAAGCCAATTCTGTAATATTTATATAAATGGAATGCAATATTTTAAGTTTAATGTAATGTTCTCACAACTATTACCTTCCCACTCGTAAAGATTTAACATTTCAAAGTTATGAATGGTTCATTCCAGTTATGTTATAAATTTATAACTTTGTTTTAGGTTGCAACCTAGCAATTGCATTTATTACTGTGCATTGTTTTATTCATAATAAATTAACTTATATATGTACTTGTTTGCATTTTCAATTTGATAATGTGATCTTAAATCACTCTAAAGTAACCCAATAGGAAAATTTATTTATTAATTTACGGGACTGCCTTTATTATTGCTGAATGCTTACATTTTGTATTTCGTTTTTCTACTGTTATAATATATTTGGTCTCTACACTACAAGCGTCACTTACCAATAAAGTTTATATTATGAAGGTAATTTCTCTTTACTTTATTATTTAATATTTCCTGCAGAGTAAAGGTAGAAATCGAAATATATAAGTATATAGTGAAATTTTGCATGCTTTATACTGATCCAGTGAAGAACACTTAAAAATAATGATTGGGTAACTTGCAATGAAATCACCACCACAACAAACTAAAATTATGTTATCAATACAGTTTTCTTTTCTCATATATAATAATGCTAAGATGCTCTCATTTAACTAAATGTGGGTAAAAATTATTACTTAAAAATCATTTTACATAATTGTTAAAAGAGCAATATTTATATAATGTAATGTGTAGAGGGCTGTTATTACCTAAATTGCCCAAGCCGGACAGACTAAAAATACTTATTTAAATAATAACTAGTTTTTGTGGATTTTATTGTGTATATTAATTTATTTTATATTCCCGACGTTTCGAGCACTTACCAATGGTCGGGGGGGGGCTGAGGTGTTTGATGTCCCAATGACATGTATACAACTGCAAGACTATATTTCTTTGAAAATAAACTCCAACATTTGGTATCTCATCAGGTTATTTCCTGGATACCCTCATCGGGGTCGATCAGCTGGTGATCTTCTGGTCTACCTGACCCATAGATGGGCAGAGGCAGTAGAGTCCAAGGGGGAGGCGTTGGCCGTTAGTTTGGACATAGCGAAGGCTTTCGATCGGGTTTGGAACAAAGCGCTTCTTTCGAAGCTGCCTTCCTATGGGCTTCCCCAGAAATTGTGCAATTGGATCACCAGTTTTCTTGCAGATCGGAGCATCAAGGTCGTTGTAGACGGTGCATGCTCCGACTACAAGCCTATTAACGCTGGTGTTCCACAAGGCTGTGTGCTATCACCAACGCTGGTTCTTCTGCATATCAATGATATGTTGCTAACTGGTAACATTCATTGCTATGCGGATGACAGCACTGGTGATGCTCTATACACCGGCCGTGCCAATATTTCTCGGGAAAACGTCGCCGAGTACCGGAACAAACTTGTGTCTGAAGTCGAGTCTTTGCTGAACAAAGTCTCGGATTGGGGGCGACTAAATTTAGTCCAGTTTAATCCTCAGAAGACACAAGTTTGCGCGTTTACCGCTAAAAAGAACCCCTTTGTCGTATCTCCTCAGTTTCAAGGCACTCCCCTTCTTGCCTCAGCCAGTATCTGAATCCTCGGAGTCGACATATCGAGTGACGTGCAGTTTCGTGGTCACTTGGAAGAGAAGGCCAAATTGGCCTCTAAAAAGCTTGGCGTGCTCAGCAGAGCGGGACAGTATTTCATGCCGGCACACCGCCTGCAACTTTACAAGGTGCAGGTTCGGCCTCACATGGAATACTGTTCCCATTTCTGGGCAGGGGCTCCCCAGTGCCAGCTCCTTCCACTTGACCGCATCCAGCGCAGAGCGGCTTGAATCGTCGACGACCGAGTCCTTTCCGATCGGCTCGATTCATTGGCACTGCGAAGAGATGTTGCATCCCTTTGCATTTTCTTTCGCATCTACTATCTAGTGCTCTGAGGAATTGTTCGGATTAATCCCAGCCGCCAAATTTCACGAATGCACATCGCGGCAGAACTCCCGATACCATCCACACCATCTGGATGATTGGCGGTCCACCACTGTGAGATTTAGATGTTTCCTGTCTTCCTCGCACGACTTCTTGTGAAATCGATTACCATCAGCGATTTTTCCGGACCGATACGACTTAGGGACCTTCAAGAAAAGAGCGTACTCCTTTTAAAAGGCCGGCAACGCATCTGCGTTTCCCTCCCTGGTGTTGCAGCTGTTCATGGGCGCCGGTAGTCACTTACCATCAGGTGAGCCGCATGCTCGTTTGCCCCCTCTCCTATATAAAAAAAAAAAGAAAAAATTCCTTAATACGAGAATAAAAACTTTGCTTACATATCAATTTTTACATACATTTAGTTTGAATGCTTACCAAATATACACTATATGCACTACGTTCATCAAAACAAAAGAAATCGGATCGGGATTTTGGCAGAAAGAACCAGAAGTTTGTTGTCCTGAGAAGGTCTCATAAGTCAATAGCCGTCGAAGTTGCACAGCGATGCGGTACCCCATATCGATGAGGGCCGCTTATATTGGCCGGGTCTCTGAGTGTTGTAGGCGGAGTTTATTGCATCATTGGCCCTTCCGGCTCTAAGACTGTCATCATCTTCAAGTAGAAAATGCGATTCTATGCACTGCAAAGGTCGAAAAGTCGATAGTGCGGCTGGCCCATCCGAGTTTAGAAAATCATTGACGAGGCTATTCGTCTTATCCTCTAAAGCAGCTGCCGCAGATGGAAAACCGGGTACTGGAGAATGACTTATCAGGTCCTCCTCCAATCCCATAACGAGTCTAGGCGGTGGACACGAGAGTTGTTCGTCACCCTCTACGTACAGCGCGTGCAGTGTTTCTACGTGTCCCCGTTGGAGAATCCCAGCTCTGCTTTCCCAACGCGAAGGATCCTGTACGAGCTACCGCCAGTTCATAATTGCGGTAATGTGCGAAAACATTCAGTAAATTAAAGCCGTTCATAAGGCACTCTGCTAAAAATAGGCCTCCGCCAAGAATGCTACAAAACACTCGGCTATCTGCAATCTACATCTATAGACCTGCACGTCTTACTGAGTCGCCACATCCCCTAAACTAGATAAGTGGAGTACATATTATATTATATCGATGCGTTTTTCGGTACGGCTGCTAACTCGAGTCTTTCATAACGGCTGTTCTTTGAATATGGTCAAAAATTTTGTTCAACTGACTTTAATATAAATAAAATGAGAACATCATGAATGTAGTCGAAGTCAATTAAATACGCATTATTAAGGATAAGGGCTAGTTCCCACTTGTCGGATGTCAGGCATCGTATTTTAATCGGGTGTCGGCGCCCCTGTTCATACTAGTCTGATCCGATTGAAGCTGGAGCCATTTTTGTTTTTTGGCAGTCTATGCGAGGCGATTATGTATGATGGACGTAGAAAAAGCTTTTGTTGTGATGTATTATTTTAGAAGAAAACAAAGAAAAAAGCCAAGAAAGGATTTTTTTTGTTCCAAAGAACACCTTTTTCCTAAACCTGTGTGGTCAATATCTTTTTCCATAATTACGAAAAACCAAAGCTCCGTGCAATATATCGGGTACAATAAAAACGCAACAACTGCGTGTGCGCCGCGATATAGAGCCGGGCCCAACATCCGACATAATGTGAATAGCGCCATACTCAAGCAAACGAGATTCGATACGATTTTTTTACGGGCGTAGAGGGCTATCAAAACACCTGACATATCTTGTCGGCGCCGACAAAAATACGGTATCTGATAAGTGTGAACAGCTTCATATAAAATGTTCTGCTACTAGAGCAGCCGATATTCTGTCGAGCCCGACACCCGACAAGTTGTCACGGACTCTGACTCAAAAACTACTGGTGAGATCTTGATCAAATTTATATGGGACCACATGAGATTTCAAATAAAAAAAGATTCATCAAAATCTGTACATCTAGAAAAAAGTTCTGAGGTATCACACATAAAAATACAGTCGGATTGAGTACCTCCTTATTTTTTGAAGTCGTTTAAAACAATGACGTAAGAGACGATAGGGGGATACAAATCAGGAGCTGGACAGCAGCGCCTTCCTAATAACGACTAATTTAAAAAAAAAACTGCGGTTGCCAAGCCGTTTGTCAAGCGTGGCAACTATGGCAAACGTTCTCCTCTAAGGCAATATATGGGGAAGGCATATGTTTATTAGTTGACTTTATTAAGCTGTAAAATAGTTTATGATGTCCATACAAAAAGAAAATTTCATTAAAAACGGCTCTGCCAGTTTCACGTGATTACTCAAACGGAAATAAAATTGTAAAAATTGTTTAGTGGTCTTTTTTATATACTTAACATTTTCTTGATTTAATAAGTGATAATGTTATTTTAGTATTGTATATTGTTTTGGAAATTTTTAAATGTTTGTACATAAAACCTCAACTCAACCAAATGGCCAGTGGAAACGCGCTTTACTATTAACATGTAAATCAATAAATGCTTTATATGCGTGAATTAATAAGCAGATATAAAAGGAAAAGGCAAGGATTACCAATTGAACATTAGAAGTAGTCAGCCGTTGACAAGATGACGTTCGTAACGCGTGTGTGGATGAAACTTACGCAAAATAAAGCCTTGGAAGAACATAGCGGCAGAATAGAGAAAATGTTTTTTGAATCTATCTATAGGGTCTTTTATATAACAGGTTTTTATGCACATTTCACATATATTTATAAAATTACATTATACAAAAGTATTTTTTGAAGCGTATCAATATTTTTTTTTGTCAATATGTACATGCAAGTAGAGTATACATGTTTAAAATAAAGTAATATACCAATGACATTTAGAGAGTTTATCACAAATTATGGTTTAAATATTTTCTTTTCATCAGTCTGTTACTGTCTACTTCTGTACATGGGCTTCTCAGTACACAACGATCGCCACGCTTGGTAGGGAGATTGGTGATCGCGTATCGCACACACCTTTGACGTTGCTTCCCATCGCCAATTTGAACTATTATACTTAGTCGGGTCATAAGTTCTGTCAAAACCTAATTATTTAAAATTTTTGAATACTGGCTAGATGAACTTGACCAATTTTAAAAATATAACGTTTACGCTTTTCGGAAATAAAAAAGACATTAATTTTCATTATTTTTAAATATTTTGTGGTCGAAGAAAGAAGACAGAGTAGCGATTATTGCGTTGCACTGTGGTTACGCGCTGAAAGAGATTTTCAATATTCTACAAAAATTTAAAATAACCCTACGATTTGTTTAACGCACTACCAAACGATTCAATAAAGATTTAAGCTTCGAAGATCGTAAGAGGACCGGCCAACCTCATACAGTTAGGACACCCGCGATCATCAAAGTAGTGAAGGCGTGAATCCAACGAAATCCTGTTCGTAAACAAAAAATCTCGCTCTTGAGATTGCGGCCTAAGCAGAACCACGGTCAAAAGAGTGATCAATGAAGACCTAGGACTACGAGCTTATCGTAAGAAGACCGGACATTTTTTTGAACGAGCGTTTCAAAAAAATTAGGCTGGATAGATCCCGCGCTTTGTTACGGTAGTACGCGGGAAAAAAATACCGCGAAATTTTGTTTTCGGATGAAAAAAAATTTAACATCGAAGAAAGTTATAATAAACAAAATGATAAGGTGTATGTCCACAGCAGTGAAGAAGCCAGCACGCGTATTCGAGGGTTCAACGAGGACATTATCCTTCGTCACTCATGGTTTGGGTTGGAGTCTCATATTCAGGCTTAACTGAGGTGTTTTTCTGTGAAAAAGGTATAAAAACCGGTTCCGAGGTGTACCAAAATACCATCCTAACAAACATAGTGGAACCTCCTTCTCAAACAGTGTTCAAAAAAGACATTGGATATTCCAACAGGACTGCACCAGCTCATAGGGCACGAAGCACGCAAAACTTGTTGACCGCCCGTGGAATTGACTTTATCGGACATGCAGACTGGCCTTCTTCTAGTCCAAATTTAAACCTGGATTACAAGATATGGCAACATTTGGAGAAAAATGTCTGCGCTAAATCTCATCAGAATTTATAATCACTCCGAGCATCTTTGGCTAAAGCAGTGGCAGAAATGATATTCTTGCGAGCCACGATTAATACATGGTATATGACGACACTAGTTACCACTAGCGCCCTCTAGTATCGAGTAGCAGAACTAGGAGAGTCAAGAACATTCTAGAAACTTCCATGGAAAACTTTCCAGAACTATCGACACCTAGTCAATCAGGACCGATATGTACTCGAACATTCTAGAAGTTTCTATAGCAGAAGGTTTTGGAAACTACCTGAGGCCCTATATAAGGCCGGTTTAGACCGCGACCTCCTAACTACGAACTACAGTGATCAGTAGTACAATTGTGTTTTATTATTAGTGTGGTTTTAAGTTGTGATTAGTGTTCTGTAATTAAAGTGTCAATTTTGGTAATTCAATCGGCAGTATTTAAATTGTCTCGAACCCCAAGCTCGTAACAATATGAATGTGGTGCGTGCTGCGATTGATGATTGGCCGCGTCGATTAAAGGCATGTATTCAAAATGGGGGAGGGCATTTTGAATAATTAAATTAAAATTAAAATTAAATTACCTTTCATTTCATATATAATTTCTATATAATTATAAAAAAGTGCATCATTAATTTTATAAAAAGTTTTTGACTGAACTTATGACCTGACTAAGTATATCTGGCATTATATTTTAATTAGCTCTACTGCAGGATATGTGACGTATTTTCTGAAATTTACCCACATTCAATAGACATGTTTGTGTGACAGTGACTATACATAATATATGTATGAATGAGTAATATTCTTACGAGGTATTGCTGCTTTGTATTTTTCATTTCCATTCATAACAGCCTTTTAAAAGTCCAATGCTGTACATAGGCCTCCCGCAATTAATGCCAGAAAGCACGGCGCTGCGCCAGCTGCATTAAGCTGCACCTGTAGTAAAATGAAGTGGCAAGGGGCGTGCATTATATATATATATATATATATATATATATATATATATATATATATATATATATATAATACGAGCTGTATTGCAGTTGCGTAAGTCCCGTCGCATGCATTTGGAGATCTTTCTGTTGAGTTGCCTTAAGACTGCAGCTTCATTTTCCGTCTAACAGCCATGAGATTAGATGGTAACCGAACCTCCACTGGAGATTCTTAGCATACCCTGGGATAACATGATATCAGGTATTAGGTTCCATCATTGCCTCTTATTACAGCCACTAGACGGCATAGTTTTCATGCCCTACTTCCACCACCGCAAAACACAGCAATAGTAGAATTTAAATACTTATATTACAGGTTTATCTCATTCCAATACCAGTGTTGGATACTTTATATACAGCAGCATAATAAAAACTTTAAATTTACTGCTGCTCTGTAGCGAAATAGGTCAATTCTTTCATATGACGTGGACTGTGGATGCAATAATTGACAGCGCAAATATAATAATAATACAATTGGGTACTCTTTACAAGTACTGCAATATGGTAAGCATAAAATCATTAGATATAGGAAAAACTTTGTACTGTCGTTTTTCTTTTTATTTTATGTTAATAACACTGTTATGATCAACATAAAACAATGTTACAGTCTTGGCTTGCAGCCAGCCACTCTGCTCCATTAGTGTGTAATAAGGCGGCTCTTCATATTGGCCAACATAGTGGCGAATGTGTTGGCAAAAATATTAGGCAAGACTTTGTGATGGCGTCCGCACGTTGGAAGGTCGTTCAGTTTGCTTTGGTTCAGGCCAATGTGCGGACGAATTTATTTAAATGGATATTGAGGTGCTAACACCTGCTGCGGTTTATTAATTCACAGCAGACCGCTACTACGTGAATGTGTATAAGAAAAAGTTGATGAAAAGGAAATGGAAAAAAATAAATTTTATTTCTTGTGTCAATGGATGCAGGTGTCTTGGGAACGTGCTTTGTGTTAATTAAGAGGATACCTATTTTTAGCGGACTTTATAAGGTCTAATGATGGTGATGATGAATAATTAAATGGATTATTTGAATTCACTTAATCGATAGGATTTGGCATATTCATAAGTTGAAAGGTATTGAAAGCAGTGAAAGAGCCTCCTCAATTGGCTTATTGAAGGTGAAAGAGTTATCACATAGTTTCACATATCACATAGTAATCACATAAGAGCTATCACACAAAGAATTATCACACGAAACCGATAAACCGTTGATTTCGTTTCGTTGTATAGTTTCACCCCCTTTCGGGGTTACACTTTAGCGAGGGACACACTGTATATTAGGTAACGTTCGTGTCCAATTAGTCCTTGGAATTTTATTTAATAAACGTCTATCTTTCTCGTAGTGTGGTGGCGGCATAAGAGAATACACTACCATATATCATATGTCATAGCATCTTAAGAGGGTTGTTAGGTGGTAGATCCATGCTGCAGCTATATTATAGTTGTAGCACGACTGGTTCGGCTGGAATGGAGAAGCGTCAAGTTCTTACAGAATACCAGCGTATAATAGTCTCATATGGCGATTGTAAAAAACCGGAGACCCTTTTTACTGAAAATGAGTCATTCCCTCTTAGTGTTCAAGGATGACATAGCAACTGCATTTTGCTTCTTAATCATGATGAATGAAGGTAGATGTCACAACCTGGACAACAGTATGGGCCAGAGCATGATCACTCTTATTCTGTAAAAAGGCGACAGAGGGAAAATGAAACAGGGGATGGGCGGCAGCATCTTTCAAGTAACAACTGAAAATAATAAAAAAAAACTACGATTGCCAACACGCCTGGTAAGCGTAGTATCTATGGCAAAAATCACCTATGAGGCAATATATGGTAGATGCTATAATGAAAAATATTTATCTTTATCTCTCGGATACATTTTACAATCAGTAAAATATAATAATAATAACATGTAACTGCAAATTTTTAAGTAAGGCATTTATATTATGGTAATTCTGACTACTCAATCTAGCAACAATAATGGAGAAAACCACAATATAATAACAAAGTACCCTAATTTAGGTATCTAGCCTAAATTAAACACAACACGTGTAATGTATAGTCATTCTAACCACTTGTATGGTAAGAATGACAGAAGAAACCAGAATGCTATAATTTATGTATTCAGTCTAAATTAAAACCATGAATTTGTGTTTTTGTCTGCTGTCCCAGTATCTGATTTAGTGAGTTTTCTGATCTCTGAGCCACAAAGTCGTCGATACATGGGAATAAGGTGTTCTCATTAAAAGTCTCTGTGCAATATTCTATTTAAAATGAGTTATGCTTATTATAAAATATTGTATGTACATTAATAACCTAATAGCGAAGTTACTTGGATTTAATTTTTTATGTACAGATAACTCACCGAAAGGTTTTTAAAGCCTTGGCGATGGCGATGGAATCCCCTAATTTTGACATTTCAACTAAAGCAAGAAAAGATCTTTTGGCCGTTTGGGTTAAGAGAAACAGGATAAATACGATTTTTTTGCTGATGCTTGGAGTTATTACTCTAACTTCTTGGTAACATTTAAATTTTTTTCAAATGTTAGAGCGTTGAACGAGCAAACAGTCAACCTTTCTACACAATATTTTATAATCTTTTTATCATACACATAGCTGTCTATCACACAGCTATTTCTAACGTTGCTCATTTAACTTACTATATCAAGATCTATGAATTGGAACTTTAACTCATATTTTCATTTACACCTATTGTTTTTTCTTTAGTTCATATCATTTTGATAGATTGTATGAAAAATTAAAAGTAAAGTAAAATACTATTGGTAAATCCAATTGTGCATGACTTAAGCGCATTAAAAAATTACGTATAACATGATTGTACTTAATTTTTTTTAAGTAGTTTAAATACACACAAGTTTTCACTAATAACCAACTATACTTCCAATTTTTTGATATCTTTATGTCAAACTGCAATTAAAAAAAAGGTTGGAAAATCCAAAAGTGCACGACTCACAATGCCAAATGATAGTGAAAAAATAAAAAAAAATGTAAATTGTAGTTCTATTCGTCAATGAGTTCCAGTAGCAGTCTACGAAGTACGAGTACACTTTGAAGTCAGTCCGTCAAGCCCGGAGGTAAGGTCTATTCTATATATCTATTATATTCTACAACTAACAAAACGAGGCTAAACTCGGCATGTCTAGTTCTCCTCGTTGAGGATTTCCAGTAGCAGTCATCAAGTACACTTTCAAGTCACTCTATCAAGTCCGGAGGTGTGGTCTCATCATAACTAACAAAACGAGCTCAAACTCGGCAAATCTAGTTCTCCTCGTCGAGTAGTTATAGCAGCAGTCATCAAAGTACACTTTCAAGATACTCCGTCAAGTCCGGGGGTAAGGTCTACGTATAACTAACAAAACGAGCCCAAACTTGGCACATCTAGTTTTACTCGTCTATGAGTTCCAGTAGCAGTCATCAAAGTTCACTTTCAACTCACTCTATCAAGTCCGGAGGTAAGGTCTCATCATAACTAATAATACGGGGTCAAACTTGGCACATCTAGTTCTCGTCGTCGAGGAGTTCCAGTAGCGGTCATCAAAGTACACTTTCAAGTCACTCTATCAAGTCCGGAATTAAGGTCTAATCATAACTAATAAAACGAGCTCAAACTCGACACATCTAGTTCTACTCGTCGAGGAGTTCCAGTAGCAGTCATCAAAGTACACTTTCAAGTCACTCCGTCAAGTCCGGAGGTAAGGTCTACGTCTAACTAACAAAACGAGCCCAAACTCTGCACATCTAATTCTCCCCGTCGAGGAGTTCCAGTAGCAGTCATCAAACTACTATTTTCAAGTCACTCTATCAAGTTCGGAAGTAAGGTTTCATCATAACTAACAAAACGATCCAATTTCGGCACATCTAGTTCTACTCATCGAGGAGTTCCAGTAGCAGTCTTCAAAGTACGCTTTCAAGTCACTCTATCAAGTCCGTAGGTAAGGTCTCGTTATAACTAACAAAACGAAGCCAAACTCGGCACATCTAGTTCTACTCGTCGAGGAGTTCCAGTTGCAATCTTCAAAGTACACTTTCAAGTCACTCTATCAAGTCTGGAGGTAAGGTCTCATCATAACTAACAAAACGAGCCCAAAACTCAGCACATCTAGTTCTCCTCGTCGAGGAGTTCCAGTTGCCGTCTTCAAATTACACTTTCAAGTCACTCTATCAAGTCCGGAGGTAAGATTTCATCATAACTAACAAAACGAGCCCAAACTCGGCACATCTAGTTCTCCTCGTCGAGGAGTTCCAGTAGCAGTCATCAAAGTACACTTTCAAGTCACTTTATCAAGTCCGGAGTTAAGGTCTCATCCTAACTAACAAAACGAGCCCAAGCTCGGCACATCTCGTTCTCCTCGTCGAGGAGTTCCAGTGGCAGTCATCAAAATATACTTTCAAGTCACTCTATCAAGTCCGTATGTAAGGTCTCATCATAACTAACAAAACGAAGCCAAACTCGGCACATCTAGTTCTCCTCGTCGAGGAGTTCCAGCAGCAGTCATCAAAGTACACTTTCAAGTCACTCCGTCAAGTCCGGAGGTAAGGTCTACGTCTAACTAACAATACGAGCCCACACTCGGCACATCTAGTTTTACTCGTCTATGAGTTCCAGTAGCAGTCATTGTTACGGCCTACGGCTGCTCCCACAAATGTCAAATCCTGGCTGGGGCCCATAGCAGCTTCTTCGACGGGCAGACGTAGGTCGGGCCTCAATATGGCCACGTGGAATATGTTCTATCACAATTAACTATGTATATGGGGGAGCGTTCTATACTACGGCCATTCAACAGGGAGAATATTAGACGGAGCTTACTTACCTATATCCAAGGCGACTGCTCCCTCAGGATTCGGTCAGGTCGCATATGGTTGTGTGGTGCAAGGGAAATTAGGTGCTGTGATGTGTATCTGGGTGTGACTGATGGTGATTGACCTTAGTAGACCTTTGCCATCGGCAGCAGCCCGGGCGTCAGCACCGCTCCAAATTGAGGAAATCTTCCGCGGCACCTTTGCCGTCACTGTTGCTAAAGAGATAGGCCTGTAATTGCTCTTATCTGAAATGTCTCCAGTCTTATTCTTCACTATTGGTACAACTATCGTTTTAATCAAATCTCTAGGCAGATACGCATGACTTATGCACAGTGAATAAAACATGGAGAGGACGAAGGTGACAACCAGCATACTGCAGATGTTCTATGCTGAGACCGTCATGTCCCGGAGACTTACCCCTAGACATACTTACGATTATCTCTCTGACCTGTTTAGCGGAAAATCTAATTGGTGTTTCTATTAGATTCAGCTCAGCATAGACCATCTGTTGTGAAGAACTGAGAGGAGACTCTACACTAAAATGTTCTTTGAACATATTGGCTATGGCCTTTGAATCATTCACTCCGTCAACGCTCATATTAGGTCTGGTTTTACATTTAATTTATTAGTTTCTTTCCAAAATTTCCTAAAATTATGTTCTATATGATGTGAAGCTATGATATCCATTTTGATTCTATCTTTATTATTTTGACACCAACGTAATTTTGATTTAAAAAATTTTCTACTTTCTACCATCTCATCATATATAGACCCATAAGTAGCTCGGTTATATTGCAACCAGATATGAAATTTTAGCCGAGCCTCCCTATGTGCGTTACTGACATGCTTATTCCACCCAGTTATATAATTTTCCTTTTCACTATTATGCCCATTCTTATCCTCTCTTGTTCGTTCTGCTGCCTCACTTAGGATATTAACAAAACTATTATACAATTTATCCAAACAAATTTTATGATACGAATTATTACAAAATTTATCACCACAATCTAAACATTCCTCCCGAAAATGAATTTTTCTTAATTTATTATTGCAAATATCTGTATATACTTTAATTTGATCTAATTGTCTCGTCCCCCATATAACTTTACTATGTAAGTTATTTGCATTAAGCTACACTTTAACCCTTATAAATTGTACATTTATTTCTATTATGAGTGGATAGTGATCCGACCAGAAAACACCATAGTCGATGTTAGCATTTGCTATCGTTTTTTGCGCTGACTGAGTGACGAGACAGTGATCTAACCATCACCTACACCCATGAGCTTCACTCACAAAACTATACGAGCCTGAGTCGATACCTATTATCTCAAAATCAGCACATATCCAGTTTTGATTTACACAGAAATTCATCATCTCCCTACAAAAACGTTCATTTGGATGTGCATTAAAATTTCCTAGAATATAAACAGTTTCTAATTTAGAATTTTCAACAATGGCATTTATTTAACCTAGGCACTGTGTCATTTCCAACAGGTTTTAATTACTGTCCGTGGGCATATAGATACAGACAATAAGTAAAGATCTGTAATTAAGAGTCATTTTCACAGCCGTAATCCGTGAACTAAAACACCAAATTACCGATACACTCTGAAAGACACTTTTTCGCCTTAAAATAGCGACTCCTCCTTATGGCCTTCCTCGAAGTATTTCAGCGCCTACATCTATTACCGAATTTCCCTTGTAACCAAAATCTTTGTGTATTTTCCATGAGATCGGAATGTCCCATGGCAGTAACCAGGTCTCTTGTAGAATTACACAATCGGCTTTCTCACATAAATCTCTTACATCTTCAAACGATCTTTTAATACTTTTACAATTAAAAGAAATTAGTATTAAATTATCATTTTTACGATCCATTATGAATTATTTAGAATTATCAACAATGGTGGACCACAATCAACTTTGAGTGGTGTCTTAAAACTTGTTCTTTAGTTAAGTTAGATGTTTAGTACCTATTGAAATTTATACAAATAAGACGCTAAAAAGTAATTCAATTGAATAGTGTTTTAAACATCCAAGTACGCTGGCTGCAGAATGTTCTTGAGGTAGACTGTTAGATCGTTTAACGCTCTAACATAGATAAATATATATTTAATGTAACTGTTATAAATTGTCTTGCCTTGACTACTCTTGTCTTAAATGAAATTGTTGCAATGATTTATTTTCCAGGTATAGTTTCCCATTAATGGATGATATTGACTACAACTTGATGTTGGCTGTGTATGTTCCTTTCGATTATGAAAATCCTACAATGTATCCTATAGTTTACTTTATACTTGTACTTGTGTTTAGTTATGTTTCTTACGGGGTTATGATTATCGATATCATTATGCAGACGTATTTAATGCAGTTGTTATGTCAATATATAGTACTTAATGATTGTTTATGCAATATTGGAACGGAATGCGCAGAAAATTTTAAAGGTAACGAACATTTTAATAACAGAATAATCCATTACTTAACAGAATATCCATTATAACACATATTATCCCGTTAGTGTCGTAAGAGGCGACAGAAGGAAACAAATCAGGAGATGGGAAGTAGAGTCTTCCTAATAACGACTAAAAATAAAAAACTTTGCTTGCGAACCCGCTTGCCAAGTGTGACAACTGTGGCAAATATCTTCCCTATGAGGCAATCTATGGGGGAGGCCTATGTTCAACAGTGGACTTTAATAGACTATAACGGTAACGTTATTTATTGAGGATACTGAACAGCTTTATTTTATAAATTAAATTTACATACATTTAGAATATTTTCAGAATAGTCAGTTGACCAACAACGGATATCCAATAGATTACCTAAAATTATAATATCACAACGGGCACAACCAAGAAATTAGAATTATAATTTAATTTTTTACAAGATTCTAGTTCTGAGCTTTTTTTTTTATAGGAGAGGGGGCAAACGAGCATGCGGCTCACCTGATTGTTAGTGACTACCGCCGCCCATAAACAACCGCAACACCAGGGAAATTGCAGATGCGTTGCCGGCCTTTTAAAAAGGAGTACGCTCTTTTCTTGAAGGTCCCTAAGTCGTATCGGTCCGGAAAAATTGCTGATGGTTATCGATTCCACAAGGAAGTCGTGCAAGGAAGAAAACATCTTCTAAATCGCACAGTGGTGGACCGCCAATCGTGCAGATGGTGTGGATGGTATCGGGAGTTCTGCCGCGATGTGCGTTCGTGAAATTTGGTGGATGGGATTAATCCGAACAATTCCTCAGAGCACTCCCCGTGGTAAATGCGAAAGAAAATGCAAAGAGATGCAACATCTCTTCGCAGTGCTAATGAGTCGAGCCGATCGGAAAGGATTTGGTCGTCGACGATTCGAACCGCTCTGCGCTGGATGCGGTCAAGTGGAAGGAGCTGGCACTGGGGAGCCCCTGCCCAAAGTAGGGAACAGTATTCCATGTGAAGCCGAACCTGCGCCTTGTAAAGTTGCAGGCATTGTGCCGGCATGAAATACTGTCCCACTCTGTTGAGCACGCCAAGCTTTTTAGAGGCCAATTTCGCCTTCAATTCCAAGTGACCACGAAACTGCACGTTACTCGATATGTCGACGCCGAGAACTCCGATACTGGCTGAGGCAACAAGGGGAGTACCTTGAAACTGAGGAGATAAGACAAAGGGGTTCTTTTTAGCGGTAAACGCGCAAACATGTGTCTTCTGGGGATTAAACTGGACTAGATTTAGTCGACCCTAATCTGAGACTTTGTCCAGCAAAGACTAGACTTCAGACATACGTTTGTTCCGGTACTTGGCAACGTTTTCCCGAGAAATATTGGCACGGCCGGTGTATAGAGCATCACCAGTGCTATCATCCGCATAACAATGAATGCTACCGGTTTGCAACATATCATTGATATGCAGAAGAAACAGCGTTGGTGATAGCACACAGCCATGTGAAACACCAGCGTTAATAGGCTTGTAGTCGGAGCATGCACCGTCTACAACGACCTTGATGCTCCGATCTGCAAGAAAGCTAGTGATCCAATTGCATAATTTCTCGGGAAGGCCATAGGAAGGGAGCTTCGCAAGAAGCGCTTTGTGCCAAACCCGATCGAAGGCCTTCGCAATGTCCAAACTAACGGCCAACGCCTCCCCCTTGGACTCTACTGCCTCCGCCCATCTATGAGTTAAGTAGACCAGAAGATCACCAGCTGATCGACCCCGAAGAAAACCGTATTGGCGGTCACTAATCAGCTGGTGATCCTCAAGGTACCGCATGAGGTGGCAGTTTATAACGGATTCCATTATTTTGGAGAACAAGGGGGTGATGGCGATAGGCCTGTAGTTGGACGGGTCTGAGCGTTTGCCTTTTTTAGGGATCGAGTGGACAAAAGCTGCCTTCCATGATTTCGGGACTAGGCCTAGGGAGTAGGAGTACCAGAAAAGACGCGTTAGGACCGGTGCCAACTCCGGAGCACACGTCCTCAGCACAATTGGGGGGATTCCGTCAGGCCCACTCGACTTGTGGATGTCCAGGGAGTGGAGTGCTCTGCGAACCGAGCGCTGTGAGAACCGCACATCCGGCATGGAGCACTCACACCGCGGGATGGTCGGCAGTGTGTTCTCCCCCATCATCAACAGTCGAGTTGGACGCAAAAAGGGAGCCTAAAAGATCGGCTTTCTTTTTTGCGTCGTGGGCCAGTGAGTCGTCCTCCCTGTGCAAAGATGGTAGTGATGGCTTACAGAAATTCCCTTGGACAGCCTTGGCGAGAAACCAGAATGCACGAGTTCCCGAAGGAAGGCGAACTAGTTTCTCGCCAATACTGCCTATGTGCTCTGATTTTGCCTTGGCAATAACTCTTTTGAAGGACCTGGAGGCGAAGTTAAACTTCTTTTTAAGTATGCTGGTGTTTACATCCCGAGTCGACGAAGCCGCAGCCCAGGCTTGATAACACTCCTGCTTACTGCGTAATGCAGTCTTACAAGATCGACCAAACCAAGGCTGAGATCTGCCTCCGATGGGTACCACAGATGATGGAATAAATAGTTCCATTCCTTGTAGCACAACATCAGTGACAGAGTCAGCAACAGCGCTGGGATCATCCGGCGAGAAGCAAACCCGCCCCCATGGGTAGGAAGCAAAGAAAGACCGCATTCCGTCCCAATCCGCCGACCTGTAATGCCAAACACGACGGCAACCTGCAGAACGCAACCGCGAGGGGAGCGTGAGTGGCACCACACTCCGGAGCAGACAATTGTTCGAAGAGCCGAGAGAAGCATCGACGGAAACCTGATATCCGTCCGGATGAGAGGTGAGCAGAAGGTCCAACAGGGAAGGTGTATGATCCTTAACATCTGGAATTCGCGTAGGCGATGTAACCAGTTGTGTTAGACCATATGCCAAGGCAAAGTCATGAACAGATCTCCCCGCATGATCGGTTAAACGTGAACTGCTGTAGCAAGGAATATATAGCCATTTGGACGTGGTCGATGAGTCGGTCTGTTTCGGCATTACCGCTATGGGACCTATAGAGGCACCCGTAGACGCGCGGATGATCATCGCTGTCTACGCGTAGCCAAAGGATGGACAGGTCCGAACCTTCCAGACTGCCGAGGCGTCGAGAACCGATGTCCTCTCTGACGTATACGCAAACTCAGCCCGAGGCACAAAGGAGTGCTGCAATTTGTACCCCGGGTAGGAGAGATACGAAGTATCAGCCGGAGAGGACACCTGCGTCTCGGTCAGAAATAGCAAGGCCGGTAGGTTCGAGTGAAGTCCCCTGATGTTGCAGAAATTCACGGATAGCATGGCGACCCCCTTGGACATGTTGCTCTGTTTGCCCCGAGAAAAGTTTGAGCTATGTTAAAAGTTTAAATATAGGCAAATATTCCCCCTATGAGGCAATCTATCGATGATGCCTATGTTCAGTAGTGGACTTTAATAAGCTGTTACTGTAATGGCAACGCTATTACTTAAATAGAGTAGGTAGGTAAGTAGAGACTAATGACTTCGAACTTACGGAAATATGAATTCAAAAAGTTTCTACTACTATTTAATTTAGCACGATCTTCACACACCTCTTTCGCTTCTTTAGGCATACATACTCTTCGATTAAGGGTAATCCTAATTTGGCCCATCTTCAATGTATCGCTAATTTGTACCGCATTCCTCGAGCAGTTATTTTACTTTCATATATCTCCTGCTACACCCAACTTTCACAACCATACATTAATGTACGGACTAACACAGCATTGTAAATTACCGTACATGCCTTTTTGACACATTTTAACTTCCCAAAATACAATAAAGAGCCACTTATTCTCTTTATCCTGCATTTACTCTTCATTCTATGTCTTTGCCATATCTAACATCCTTGCTAGAAACATAAATTTATGATTTATTACTGAAACATACCTGTGAGGTTTGGTGAACCGGCTATACGTACTCATTGCTTGTATAAATGATTATAGTTTTCTTCGAAACAATTATAGTAAATAGATTTTTGCTTCCAGGAATGAGTGACATCGAACTGCTTTATAACGACCAATTTAGAAAGAAATATAGGAGAAGATTAGGAGACTTAATAATTCAACACAAATTTATTTTGGAGTAAGGTTTTTATTATTTATTTAGAATTTTTAGTATATTATAATTTTATTTTGCTTAAAACATATTTTGGTTAATAAGATTATTTTTCAATATTTGAAATCAGAATACTGAGGTGAAACATTATTAACAATGACACCAATAAAAATTAACTGTTGCACTTAAGCTTTCCGTAAGAATAACCACAAAGTGGCAATGCGATAAATATTGCATTCGTCAATCTGCCTACACAAATCCTCAATACTTAAAGAGTTTCATAAGTAAAAGTTACGTTTTATAATGTAATACAGTTTTAATTTCCTCACACAATCTGACAGAAAATTAAACAAATATTAAAGAAATCCACAAGATAAGTTTAAAATGCTGTGAATATAATGTTTTTAATTTATTTTGAAATTGGGTCTATACCGGCCTTATATAGGGCTTCAGATAGTTTCCAGAATCTTCTACTGTAGAAACATCTAGAATGTTCGAGTACATATCCGTCCCGAAATTTCTTGAAGGATCTTGACTCTCCTAGTTCTGCTACTCGATACTAGGCGCTAGTGGTAACTAGTGTTATCTTGTACAAGGCATTAATAGTGGCGCGCAAAACTATTATTGATTAACAAATACAAATATATGGTAGTAATCCATATATTTGTATTTGTTAATCATGCGTGTATTAAAATGAAGCGTCATTTAAAATAATATTTCTTTCACGGCAAGATAAGAAAAAGTGCAAGGGAGATGGATATTATTCCATCTCGCCGCACTATAGAAAGGGGGTCGTGACGGAAAATCTTACACTTTTTCTCGCCTAGCCCCCATCCGTCAAATTCGTACCGTGCGATAAGTAACTTCGTTCCAATAAAAACTTTAACTTTTTTTAGTATTGCATAATTTTCAGAGTGATCCACGTATAATAATAATATTAGTCTAGCCATAAGATATTGTGTTATATTTTTATAAGTTTTTGTTCCCTTTTTTCTAAATTCAGATTTGTAATGTGTGCATTATAATATAAATACTTATATCGAGTATATCGAAATAGCGGCACCATTGCACATATTATTTTTCATCATGATTTGTGCTAAACGATCACTGCAATTATATTGTTTTCACAACTTAATTTCTAATGTTATTTTATATTTATGGTGAGTAAGTAATATAATATAAAATGGCGACAACACAGATATTTTTTTTTCTTTAAGTAAAACGATGGAGTTACGTAAAGTCTTAAGTGGGCCGATGTTAGGACACATGTGTGGAAGTACTATACTAATATGCTCAATCGGTTATCAAATTGTCATGGTAAGCTTTAATAAATGAAAAAAATTTGCTAGTTATATTATGAGCTTTTATAAAAATATTTATAAGATTATTAAATGAGAACATAAACACTGGAATTCAAAACTGGAACTATGTGAAATGCAGGTAAGATCTTACGACGTCCAATACATTGCATTATAATCATTTGGTATATACCGGACTTAAAGTATCAACATGCTATAACTAATCAAACTAACATGCGTGGCGATTCAGGCACATACTCTCTCCTATAGGAAAATCCTACTTCCAGTTTTATAAATAAAAATAAGAGGAAGAGAGACAAACTGAATAGTCGATTAAATATATAAGATAATAATACACACCAAATCTAAGAAATACCTTTGGACAGTTGTCACATTTATTGGACTAGGCATTCCAAATGAAAAATTGGTACCTATAATAGTCGATTCTTAAGAGATATCGATATCGATTCTTTAGAGTAAGAAATAATTTACAGTTTTATCTAGATCAATACCAGAATTGGCCCAGTTATCGCTTGTGGAGTAGATGTATTTTCTACAAATCCTCCACTTGCGGATCCCAGATGGTAAATTATGAGGCGCCCACCTTTTCCCAGGGCATATGACTTCTGTCTATGTCTGCGGCATAGAGTGGTTGGCATTTAGCCATGTTTCATCCATGAATATAAGGTTATTCCATTAGGTTTTATTTTTAATTTCTCGTAAAATGTAGTTCTTTGCATTCATGTTCTAAATAATTATTTTGCGTTTGTCATATTTTTGTGTCAGTAACCAATTCTCATTCAATTGGTTCTCAATTACTTTATGCTACCATTGTACTAGCCGGCATCTTCTAAATTTACTCGCAACTTCGCCACACTGGGATTCACAGAAATTATAAAAATAATAAAATATAACAGAAATTATAATAAATATAAAAAAGAAAATGTAAAGGTTCGATTATTTTTTTTTTATTGGATAAGGGTGACAAACGAGCACACAGTCCACCTGATGGTAAGTGGTTGCTGCGGCCCATAGACATCTACATCTATCCTCTATTACAAATCAAAATGTAGATGCGTTGTCATCCGTGAGGACTAAGATGGAATGCCTCATTACCAGTAAAAAGGGCCTCCGGCCACCTGCACTCACCAAGCGAAACGCAGAGGTAAGCCTCTACTTCACGCTGGTTTTCTGTGAGGTCGTGGTACCACCCCGGTTTGAGCCGGCCCATCCGTGCGACAGCAAAAGCTGCCGCGTGGCTCTACCACTATCTAAATATTATTTGAATATTTGAATATTTTTACTGATTATTAGCATTAGCGTGAATTTGAATCATTCAAATACTACATATAAGGTGCATAACGATATATTATCATTGAAACAACGTCATGCCTAAAAGTTGATTTAGGTTAATTTTTTTTATATTTTGCTTTTTTAAAGATTCTAATTTAAATTTGTGATACTTGGTGTAAGGAAATACAGATAACTTCATGATTCTTTGTATTTACGTAAAAGGTTATTATAAATCGTGTGAGTACGCTTGTACAAAGTTATTGCGGATTATTTTCTATTATTAGTTTTGATTAATGTGAAACGACAAAGGGTAGTTCTAAGATTTGGTTGAGTTTTAGGGTTGATTTGGTAATTTTAAAATTACGATAATTTATTTAACTATATTTATTATTATCATATGTAGTCCACTGGATATATATATATATATATATATATATATATATATATATATATATGTATATAGATAATATGTCTTATGGCATTAATAATATTTAGGCTGTTGACGAATACAAATAAGACTTTATGACCTTAAAGGAAAAAAAGAAAAATTATCAAAAACCGAAAAACCAATCAAGGTTTATAAATGGTAAATCATAATGGATGTTTTAATATTTAATTTTTCAATTCGCAGTCCCTTTCTGTAAATATCACCAAATGTGTGATGAGTTTTCTCTACCTCGGATATAACATGTTTATACTTTATATGATATGTCGCTGGTGTGAAGATATCACTAAACAGGTTAGTAATAAAAGTTGAAACAGTCTATTAACATAATGTTCATTAATAAGAATTCACTTCAAAAAATATAAGGTTATCAGTTCGACTGTATCTTTGTTTCTTATTGTATTCTATATTTAGGACAATATCTTTAGGATTAGTTTACCGATTTAGGACTAATCTTTCAATCGTAAGATAAAAGTTATTTATAGTATGAAATACAACATAAACAAATTATACATAACGGTTTTATGAATAAAATATATCAATTGTTTAACTTTTATATTTAGTCAGGTTACAGTATATTTGATAGATACAATTTATTTGACGGTTGATAGTTTCAATTGCACAGTATGTATTATAATGACCAAATTATGCGGGAACGCAGTCATTTATACGTGCTTATCCCCTAACGATAGGTTAGATCACAGGATAGCTTAGATACACTGTCAAGGACACACATTGACAGTGTATCTAAGCCGTCTCCGCGATAGTCACAATACATTTAAACCTAAAATGTGTTATGAACAATAACAATGATTTCGGTTTAGATTTGAATACAGGTACCACAATTAGTCATTCACTCCGATTACGAGGTTTAGAATGAGTGAATGTGTGTTTTCGTGGCTCTGCAATGGCTTGGGTGCTGTCTGTGTTTATCTGTAATATCGAATTAACTGTCTTTTATTGAGCTTATGGGGTTATTTGCATGCCATTAATACATGAATAGCCATTTTTTAAATTTTTGTCTCTGTACGGTCGAGTCGGATTGCTATCCTATCAGATTACGAAAATGAGAGAATAAAGAATGCACCTGTGTTTGCGCACGCACTCGAACATTATAATACTGTGCCACAATCTATATATTTATACTGTGACTGTGCAGCGCAGATAGCTAATCTATTTTGAGAATAGCCACCGTGAACGAAATTCTGTCTGTAGGTCATTATAAGATAAATAAATTTAATATATTTCCAGGGTGAGGGTGTCGGATTCGCAGCATACTGCTCAGGATGGGAACGTGGTTATACAACGATTCCCGGAGTGCGCTCAAGTCTTTTGATAATACTTACACGCGCTAATAAACCGCTTGTGTTTACAGCTGGGGGAATGTATGACCTCTCTTTGGATAACTACTCCAATGTACGTTTGTCGTTTTTAATATGTGACGTAGTAATACGACAAAGAAATGTGTTTTATATGAGGTGCGGGTGCGGCCGATTTTTCTGAATCTAGGGTAATATACAAGTCAGGAATAGTGTAAATTTTTTTTAAGATATTTCGTACCCTGAACCTACATCTGTCATAATTGCGTTGTCATCGAGTCACCGTTGATTATAATAGAATGCCTTACAGCGTGTGTTTAATATACTGGATCTGTATTCACTTCAAACCGGAACATACTCGTAGTATTGCATGCACTGCTGCTTGGTGGCAGAAATCAAACTTTCAATGTAATAATGTTGCTAATAAACGACCCAAAACTTTCATGTTATATACAAATTGAGATGTCACTCAACGAATTACTCGCGGTACATACATTTCATGCACTTGGTTACCTTAGGTTCAGAATTTCTCAGACGACCTCTATATAATATGTAAAATAAGTTCGAGCGTGCACTGCATGTATCGTCCTATATATCCGAATAATGTTGTACTGTGGTGTCAATTTCAAACAAATACATTTGATGTTTTAAGAATTTTAATGAAAGTACCGTAAAAACCAAGAAAGTTAAGTTTGCAAAACCAAAAAAGTTAAGTTTGCAAAACCAAAAATAACCTTTTCCCTAGGCCCGGGTTGCCTTATCTGGCGCTTGACGATACAGACTTCAATCGTATTATAAAACATTTTGCACGAAATTTTATATTTTTTATATTAGAAGAGTGATCAATCAGCACACAGTCCACCTGTTGGTATGGTGATGCTGTGGTTCATCGACATTCTTCTATTTTGAATCAAAGATACGTTGTCACCCCTGAGGAAGATGAAATGCCTCGTTATAAGTAAAATGTTTACTTCTACAATAATAATGAGAAACACATAATGCAGTTATTATGCGTCTATTTTATGCTGGTATTCTATTAGGTTTTTTCCCAGGCGAGCCGATTCATTTACGCTGCTCATACTATAGCTGTAGCGTGGCTCTACCACAGAAATAAATATGGAACTATAACTCCACACATAGTGATAAGATAAGCCGGCAAGAAGTTAAAGAGGGAATTCAATCTACCAGTAAAGCAAATATTTTAATAAAAATAATAATTGAATCAAATCTGATGCTGCTATTTCAGGTAAACGTCCTTAAAATGAGCTCAAGGTGTAATAAAGGTTTTTGTTTCAGTTGGTGAAGACATCATACAGTGCTCTTACAATGTTGCTCCGATTCCGCAACGAGTGAAGGCACATTGCTTTTTTCTTGAATGCTGTAAAACTACACTGCTTTTTAAAATACAATGTAAATGTAATGTTATGCAAAGCAAAAATATTTCCACGTCATTATGAACTGTTTTGTTATTTTGTTTGAGATATTTTACAGTTTTATGGCTCGTTCGTACTTGTACGTTAGTATTTTAGATCAAAATTCTAATCGAATTAGATACGTAGTTATTACTCTAATTACACTAGGCAGATTTACGACTCCATTGAAGCTTAAACCGTTTATGCCCTATAATAGCCTGATGAAATATTCTTTTAGTTATTTTTTAAGGAAATATTTCAGATCCTAATCACAGAGTTAGGGAGTAACAAATATTTTTTTTACAATTATGACGAGGTTTGACGTTGGGATATAGATGGTATTGGTAGTGGGAGAAGGATGTCCCACCAAATAGTACAAAAAACTTCATATAATCTTATGGGTCCAACACGACAAAACATATAATAAAGTTGTGAACAGCTCCATACAAAATATACTGCTAACAGAACACCCCTTTTTTATCGGGTCCGACATTCAATTGACGCGAATTGACCATTAGTTAAATAGATCATAAGTACGATGAAAAAGCATGTAATAACTATGAAAATGAAATAATTTCGCGGTTACCAAAAAAACGTAATTGTAACACATCATTCACATTAATTAATAAAATAATATTTCACGTTTTCTTTTTGGTTGTTTTATTTCCATTTACTCGTGTGAAAGGCGGCCCAAGAAAACCCATCATACTCCTTTTCTATCGGAGAAGTTATAATAAGTACTTAAGCCGTCCAAGCATGACAAATAGCACAAAAATACTGCCTACAATGGGAGAGGTTTCAACTTTTTCTTCTTCTTTTTGTTTTCAGCAGTCCGTTACGACAAATCAACTGTCATTTGTCGTGATCATCTCGCTTGGCAAGCGCATTAGTGATCGTAGTACAAAAAGTTCCTTGACGCTGCTCTCTATCGCTGGATGTTTTACATGTGGCATTCCTTTTCTTCAGCATATTACTACAGTTCACTGTTGGACATGGGCTTCTCCTACTTGGCACGCTTGGCAGGTGAATTATATATAGCATTACCAGACGTTTCGCACTTTTGACGCTGCTCCCCATCGCCGGTCTTGGTATTATAAATTTAGTATTTAATATTCCACACGGAACATTTGACATTATGAGGAGGGTATACCGTCTTCAAAAGGAGGCCATGAGATGCCATCGAAATAAGGTGTGTGGACTCCTTCCTCTAATAGCTTAACACGTATTTATAGATCTTAATGTCCAGAAATATGAGTGCAAAGTGAGTACTAATATGGAGAAAAACACGCTATGTCCATCTGCAAGACTTCAATATACTGTACTGTACTGCGTAGTTCCAACCAAATTTGTAATTAATAACTGAAGGTTGCCCGGTAAAAACGCATCCATATTAGCCCTCAGAGGTATGGTGTGCGCATATGGGCCACAGAATACACTTACCATTAGGTGGATTATGTGATGGAGTGCTTTGCAGCACTTGAAATGATGGGAACAAGGATTTATCTAACGCAAAAAACTCCGTAAATTTAGTTTAATATGTTTCAATGTGCAGCCTCAATCGACTCCTTTCGAAACAAGATGAGGTGGTTGATACTCTTATGCCACCATCTCAAAGGACAACCGTAATTAATGCTGCGATGTTGAGATATTCAAGATAATTTTAATTACACTATACAGGTATTCAGGTATGTTACCTATATTTTTCAATTTCCGATTAGCGATAGTTTTCTGAGTTTATTCTGCTTATATATAATCTTCTCGTATTTATCGGACACGAAACAGGAAGTTCAGCCGCAGTAAAGTTTATCTATTACAAATAAATTAATACTTTAACATACAATAAATCTAAACCTCTTTAATATACTGGGTGACTTTTTTTACCGTCTGGAAAATTATATGGTGTTTTGTGTGAGTGGAATAGAAGCTATCCTTGAAAGTGTTTCTAAAATAATTGATAGGCAATATTTCCGAATATCTAAAAAAATACAAAGAAACAATTCATCCTACGGCATTTGCGTAAAACTAAAAATAGGTGATATTAAACGGCGTAGTGAATGAAAGTTGTAAGCGTTATAAGGAATTTATAAACAGTTTCTATAATTTTTATGCATTTAAAAGATCGAAATCAACTAACTTATTTACAAACTATAAACTTCGAAGCGTGTCTAAATCACTATGTATCATATTAAATGCGTCTATTACTAACTAGGTACTATCTAACACTTTGTGTTTCTTGCTTCTTCTGTGTTATATTGCCCACAAATAAGTCTAGAGGTAGGTATTAGGTTTGGTGATCTCACCGACCACTTCATAGGTCTACCGTGACCAATGAACTGGTCGGATATGCGCATACAGATCGTTCGTAATGAGCTGGACATCCGTCGTGCTGGAAGTACATTCCGTGCAGATGGCTCAAAGAAACGTTTTATAATATTGTGTCGATGACGAAACGTATCACTCGCAGATACGTTACTCCCATCAATCGACCTTCGATCCATATTGGACCAAAGATGTGGTCGTTAATGATCGACGTCCAAACGTTAACACTGAAACAAACTTGATGAGCATGTTCTTTGATTTTGTGTGGGTGTTGGTAACTCCACCAGTGCTCATTGTGCATATTGTAAACTCCAACGCGGGTAAATATCGACTCGTTGCGCCATAAAATGTTAGCCTGCGCATGGTCCTGCTGCTAAGGACAAAACTCCTTATGTGTTCCAGGGTCTGGCACATGCAAAGCTTGCACGCGTGAGAAATGATGGCATATTGGGATGGCATATTCATTGAATGAAGTAGCTTCCGTAACACATACTGGCTTACGCCAAACCGACGAGTGGCTTGCCAGGTGCTCTTTCTCGGGTATTATTGGAAGTAGTCCAATATGCCATCTTCAATATGTCTGGACAAGGGTAACTGGCTCCTGCCTCTGGCATGGCTGCCGGAACTAGCCATGATCACGTAAGCGCTGATACGTCTGTAATATTAAATCGGTGCTGGGAATTCGAGAAGCAGGGATACCACCTCTGCGCAACAGCTACAGTATGTTTAAACCATAGACTTAGAATATACTGCCGTATAGACGACCTGACAACCCGAAAACGTGTGACTAATTTTGATTTGTCATTGTGTTTGTATTTGTTGTCAAAAAATGATTGATTTCTTATATTTACACGAACACTACACATTGAATAAAACTACCCTTACGGATTTTATCGCGTTTCATTAAGTTATTTTATATTCCCGACGTTTCGATTGCTTTCCGGCAGCCGTGGTCACGGGGGACTGAGGTGATTGACGTCCTTACCTTACCTTAATCACCTTAGCCCCCTGTGGCCACGGTTGCTGGAAAGCAACCGAAACGTCGGGAATATAAAATAACTTAATTACACGCGATAAAATCCGTAAGGGTAGTTTTATTCAACGAAAAACGATTGTTAAGGAAGCGGTAAAAGATTAAAAAAATCGTTTAGCGCACGAAATAGAATAACTTCAAAAATTAACTGAATTTTTAACATGATAGTTCTAAAATAATTAAAAAAATATTCATATAACATGTCCCTGGGGATAAGCAGAACCTAACTGTCATTTGTTGCATTTTAAATCAAATGTAAAAAAATCCCAAGTGACACTACCGATAAACTTAAAAACTCCCCGAGAATCAGATCTGGAAGTTGTATTTTGAAGTTTCATTCATTGTTTTTTTTAATAAATAGATACTTAGGTAAGCCATTATGAACCCGCATAATGGCTTAATTAGGACAATCTCAAGATTTTTTATTCTTAATAAATTACAGTGTTATAATGTAAAAAATTTGTCCCTATTTATATCTGAAGTTTTGAAAGTAAAATAAATTTTTGAAGTCTTATTATTATTTAATATTATACTTACTGGTACAAATAATGTAGAAATGGCTCCTTTTAATAAAATTGTTTTTATTCTGCATTTTCTTTTATACTTCTCAAGTAAATGTTTGCTGCAAATTGTTGAGTTTTTCTTTGGATTTAAACCAAACTGTCGAATTAACCTTAACCATTTTTTCTAATTATAGAATCCGGAGGAAATCTGTTACACAAACGGCAAAATAAAATTACATTTATAGAATGCAAACTGAGGATTTAATTTCTTGTTGTGTTTGACCACACAACAATCATTTCTATAGATCATTATAAGCATCTAGTCTCTAGATTCATTATAAATATTCAAAATAAATATCGACATTAATTTTGATATAGTTGAGTCAATCCCTAGTGTGCATGTAAAATATTTTGTATAAAAATGTATTTACCAAATTCATGCAAATTATCAAAAAGTGACTTTTTTCTTTGTAAAATATCTAAATTAACAAAATAATTGAAAACATTCTATATTTTAAACAGTATATAACATAAATTTTCTGAAACTATTCCGAAGATATCCCGGACGTCAGTCTGAGCGAGAGTAGAATGGCTCTCCAGCACTTTAAAAATGGCAGGGCCCCAGGTGAGGATGGAATTACAGCAAAGCTTAAGAAAGTGGGTGGAAAACCGGTACTTGAAGTCATTCAGAAGCTCTTTAATTCCGGCCTTCATGGTGGCACTACTCCTGAGGCGTGGAGCAGAAGTGCGGTGGTCTTGTTCTTCAAGAAAGGCGACAACGCTCTCTTAAAGAACTACAGACCGATTTCCTTTCTGAGCCGCGTTTCTACTCACATTACAGAAATTTTCACAAATTTATAAAGTTTTATCATTTAGACACTGTTTAGATCCCATACATCACTAGCAACCAATTCCTACACGACTCTTATCATATAAGTAGGAGGCTAATGCTTTGTGTAAATTACAACTAGGTATCTCTTTTCATTCATCATCATCATCATTACGGCCCTTCACAAGTCCACTGCTGAACATAGGCTTCCCCCAAAGAATGCCACAAAGCACGATCCTGAGCCACCTGCATCCATC